AAAAAAGGAAATATGTATATAAAGAGAGAAACAGAGAGAGAGCGAGAAAGAGAGAGATATGTGTCATTGAAGATAACTGACAACGCAGTTATCTTATTATATTTTATTATCTTTTTCTTGCATGTGTAAAAGTGACATTTCCTTGGACACAGAGTGAGTAAGAATTGTCCAAATGATCTTAAGAATTGGCCGATTTCGGCTAATCTACGGAACATTATCAACGATGATTTTGTTTATCTTAATAAGTAAATGGTAATGGTATTTTTTTTTATCAATACAAATGTTTTATTTCCGAACACTGTCAGACCATACTGTCCGTGTTCTAACCTTCACATCTAAGAGCCGCAATATCACATTCTTTTTTTCACTAGAAGGAATCATCCTCCTTCCATTCGTATACCATTAATAAGGATCGTGTTCCACTGGGACAGCTTTCCCAAATAGTACACCATACGGCTATATCACGTTGAAACACAGAAGTTAAGCAACATCGAAGCTGGTCAGTAACAAAACGGGAGACCGCTTGGGAATACCAGATGATGTAAATTTGGATGGAGTTGGAAGCCGGAGATCCGAGTTTCAATTCCAGTCGGGTTTGTTATATTCTCTAACATGCAATTACTGTTGGGGAGGTTATGAATTTATTTCTTTATCTCTCAGCTATAGGTCAATTAGTAGGACTTGTATCAGTAATAAATCCTTCACGTCTTCATCATCATCTTGCGGCCTCAGCCGAGATTGAACTCACCAATACTTTGATTCGTGCAGTTCATAATCTTGTCAAATAGCTGAATTCTTCGCTAGGGCTATCAAGGGTGTTTTTTTTTTTATCGTGACACCAACACTAAATGGATTGCAAACCAAGGCTCAGAGAGACTCCATTCACCCTCCTCTAAGAGCAGGTTTGAATTCAGAGTTTTCATTCTCCTAGACCAGTTGCCATCCAAGGCTATAGAACCCAGTCTGTCCTGCTATTTACCCATAGCTGGAGGGAGAAGAAAGAGGATTCACACCTTTCCCAAGGGTGTTAGCACGTAAGTGAATGTCATGGATTCGACTGGAATTCGAACTCGGCTCTCCGATTCCTCAAGCCGCTATCCATTACTCCACCGTGCCTCCTAAATCCTTATTATATCCCCCATTTCTTATTATTTCAAAAATAAATATTCCCTGGCTTTAAATAACCAGCAAAAGGTTGATAAACAATAGAAACAAATCAATGAATGCCGATGAGAACAATCTTAACGTCTTCATTTCTATGGTTAACCGTTATTTTCCTACATATTCATACATACCCATATAAATGGCAGCACTTACTTCCTCCTCTTACAACGTCATTCGGTAAACCTATACTTTGAGTGGCTCTTGGGGCCTTGTATTAAGTGAACATTTAGTAAACTACAAAGAAAAGATAATTATTAAGATGAGATAACCGGTAGACTTACAAACGGTTGCTACTGTATTGAGTTAAATAAAGTACCATAAAATGATGGCCCTGTACCAGACTAGGCTAAGATTAGTAAATATCTATTCAATTTCGCTTCCTTATAGGATTTTGGGTCAATGTTTCAAAGCTTTTAGTATGGATTTCCCTATTTTAGGGATTAGCCCAGATTAAATTAATAATTAATTAATTTTTCAAAAATTCTATCTGCGTTTTTATCTAATTCTTGAATCATCGCTCGGATATTTTTTCATCTTGATATGCTTGAACAATGATAAGATGTCTGGAAAAATTAAGCTTATAATTTTTAAAAAGAAAATAGAAGAAGAATATTAAAATCAAGATGGCATCTTTTTTTTGCAGCCCTAATTTTCCCGCCTAAACAATCACTGTTTGCTGTGACGTCATGCTTTGGCGAGAAATCCAATCAGGCGATCGCTTTAGTTTGAGTACTCGCTAAGTTTGCCTTAAGGCGATTTGACACGGATGGGTGCAGACCAGATCCACTAAAATTTAGGGGACACGATTTACTAATACGTGGGGTTTCTAAATCCCGTCTTCACTTTTCAATAAGTAATCGTTTCTGTTTGAAATACTCGATTGAATTTCTGAAAAGAAAAGTGTAAATAATAATAATAATAATAATAATAATAATTTATCTTGTTCTTTTTCTATGTTCCATGATCCTTCAGGATGTTGATGATCATGACTCTCCACAATTTCCTTTTCCTTGTGCCATCCATTTACTCAATCTCGTTAGGTCTCTATTTTTCTATGTCCTTCTTGCCTTCAATATGCTCTGTGAGTGTCAAGTTTTCCAAGCCCTCTTTCCTCATGTGTCTGAGAAATTTCGACTGTCTTTTTATGATGTTAAGTATAAGTGTCCTTTTTGCCTTCATTTTTTTCTAAAATTTCGTAGTTGCCCACATGTTTAGTTCATGATATATCCTTCCATATAATCAGTAATCTTTTCTTCGTCGTCCTGGGCATGACGATGAAGTACATCCGGCAGCAAGACTTCTGATCAGAAGGTTTTCAGGAGTGTGGAATCACCTGTTAAATGCTGGTGTTTTCAGGTCCACCCTGACCTGGCGTGGTAAGGACCTGTTAGGGTCCAGGCTATGGGGTCTAAACATTATGAAATTTTAAAAAATAGGTTTTAAATACCAGGAATATATTTTTGTAAAAATTATTATCAGCTATAAATCTTTGAAAAAATACCAACAATAAAGCGCTTGCTGGCATTAAATAACCCATTTAGGTTGATATGCCGTAAAAAAACAAACAAACAAACAAATAAAAAACAACAAAAAAACAAAGATGAAAGAGTTCTTAATAATATCTATAATAATAATAATAATAATAATAATAATAATATTCCTTCATAATATCCATCATCATTATTATCAATTTTTATTATTTATCAATTTCTATTACTGTCCCTTCATTATCTATATATATATATATATATATATATATATAATCACTAAGCTTTAATTTCTCTGTATCTACCTATTTGAGTCTATTCCTATCTATCTATCTATCTATCTATCTATCTATCTATTAATCTATCTATCTATCTATCACATTCTATTCATATATATATATATATATATATATATATATATATATATATATATATATATATATGTCTATCTCATTCTAATTATTAGGTTGGTGCAAAAATAATGACGTAATAATGTCGTTTTTGACGTATTTTTTAACGTTAAAAAACGACATTATTACGTCATTATTTTTGCACCAACCTAATATAACTGTTCATATTTATCTATCTATTACTGTTTCTTCATTATCTATCATTTGTCTATTACCGTCTCTTCATTATCTATCTATCTGTGTTTATATATATATATATATATATATATATATATATATATATATATATAATTTCTGTATTCACCTATTTGAGTCTATTCATATCTATCTATCTATCTATCTATCTATCTATCTATCTATCTATCTCATTTTAATTATAACTGTTCCTATGTATCTGTCTATTACTGTCTCATCATTATCTAACTATCTGTTTGTTACTCTGTTAAACTTTTTTAATCAAAGTGACGCAATTCTCTAACTTTCAGTAGCTCATGTTTCAGATATCTTGGATTCCTAAGTTTTCATTCCTGCGATTGTTTTCGGCGGTTTTTTACGTGATTTTTATGACAAATTTTTTGTACGATAATAATGGAAATCAATTTAGGGATAATCGTAATTAATTGCGAAAGTCACCCATGAAATAAAAAGTAACTGTTTGTACGGAAAGTAAGGACCTACGTCCATCAAATATTCTTTAAAATGTCAAAAGATGAGGGGAATTCAAGAAGACAGAAGATGGCGATCGGCGTTGCATTTAAAATTTTGACGATTGTAGTTATTAGGGAAGCAAGAAATCAGAAGGGAGCTCCACAGGTTTGAAGAGTGAGAAAAAGAATTTTTGGACTAGAAGTGGCGTTCTCATTTAACTATTTCAACAGTAAATGGGTGGCACTTAGATGCTAATCCAGTCGCACGATTAAATTCATGTAGTCGGGGAACCAGAAAGAAACACAAGTCAGAGCAGTTGCCGTGAAAATATTTTTTAAAAAGACTGAGGGAAGTCAGGTCGGTGAGAAAATGACTGAAGCCGAGATGCCAGGTCAGGATCGATTACATTGCAGATCCTTCTTTGGATTTTGTCAAGAATCTCGAGATGCACAACAGGAGCACCATAGTAGATGTGGCAACAGAATTCAATGCGTGGACGTGTAAATGTGCAATATGGATTTTACTTTTGTTGTTTGTTTACACGTAGTAGTAATATTAGTAACAGTAGTAGTATTAAATATAATTTTTGGCAATGATGTTCACCCTCTACAAGACTCATGAGTAACTCGAATTAAATGGTTAATATGTAATAAGCCCCATTTCCATGCATGATGATAATGCGACCAAGATGGCGGGAATGTCTTCAATGAAAATCAGATTCAAGGGTTTCTTGAAGAACTTTTCATCTCAAAAGATTTAGAATTTTACTCACAAGTTATCAAAGAGCTCTCTGATAAGTGCCAACAAGTCATTATAATGGTAAACACAGAAATACATACAATATGCGAGACTAACAAAGAAAGACAATGACAGCAAATCCTCCGTCGCAGCAGCAGTTGTCAAAACCTGACAGATAGCAATAGCAGAAGTTGCAATTCTAATCAACTGTCAGGTTAGGTTTATGGCTCCGAGTCTTCTACGGCAAATTATCCTAATTTTGAACACGAGAACTTTAACATAACACAAATCAGAGCATAAATTAGGAAGGTGGTGCTCGTGAGAGAAATCCACAGTGCTTAAATGAATAGATGTTATATTGCTAAATTTTCTCTCCGTGTTGATAGCTGTGTCGGTGAAATGTGATTGTATGTCGTAGAAATACTTATATACACATATATTGTAAGTTTATTGAGTCGGAAAAAATGCTTGTGTCGTTTTTTAAATAAATTTAGATATTTATACATAGACGTATTCCTTACGCTCAAATCCGCCAAACGAGACAATGGCTTAGTGTGCTAATGCGTTTTGTGAAATTTGACAGCATAGTGATCGTGAGTTCAATCCCTGTGTGGGGCGAC